CTTGAGGTTCCTTTGAGTGAAGTATGGCTTGGCTTCGACTGTGTATTAGAAGACGGGGAGCTCTTTTTCTTCTTAGGTTTATTCTCAGTTGTCAACTCTTCGGGAGACCTGATCCTCTTTGCTTCAGATCTTGTGAGAGAGTCCGATTTTTCCTTTGGAGTGTCGTTGGATTGACTAACTATGATTTTCTGAACCATCTTTTTCAGCTTCCTCCTCTGTGCTCCGGATAGTCTTTTCTTAGTAATAGGTAGTTTAGCTATGCTATCACTCACCTGTTTCACCATTTGCCCTATTTCATCCTTATTGGGATTTGCTATAATGGTGTTGTTATTATCTTCTGAGGATTCAGAGTCGGAACCCTCACCTATATTTAAAGGCTGAGGTAGCTTAGAGCTCTCTCCGAGTACATCCTTCTCTTTCACCCCTATATTTTTGCCAGCGGCATGCTGTACACTTGATCGGCTAATTAACAATCGGGAGTTTTTGATTTCAGCTTTGATGTTAGACCTGTTATCAAGTATGGTTTATGTAGCTTTTGAGGTTAGGTTCTTATCCGTCAATTTTCCATCTGCAATATTCAAAGATTTCCCTGGTTCAGTTGTTGCCAAATGTGAATGATTTTATCACCTTTTAAGGTTGAAATGTGTTAATCCATAAATATCAAATCAACTTTTATTTACCATTCTCAATGTAAGAGGAAAATTTTTAGATGATAGTTGATAATTTTTAAGGGGGTAGTTCGGAAATCCTGCTATGCTATGGTATGTATATATCTACCAGCGAAGTCTGCATGGCAACAAGCACATTAGAATTCGCAAACTGTTAAGATGACAACTTTTCGCGAATGTTAATTTAAATTTCTCCTTCGTAAAAGAATGGCTGTACAATTTATAATCCAATGAAACATGTTGCTGGGTTAATTACACTCAACATAAATATGTATGAAACTTACATATTAACAATATTTTCACATCCTCGTATAATGTAGATTGTGTTTTTCTTTATATCTACAACACAAAAATTATAAAATGTATCTTCTGCATTACAAACATTCTTATGTAAGTGTGTAAACTATATGTATTATCAACATACATAATATATTACGAATATCATGTGTAATGTAATGGTTGAGTTATTTTGATGCTGCTTGACACTATAAATCTATATACATATGTATGTATATGTACACATATACGGGTAAAAGTATCTAGATATTTCAGTGTTTATGGTGGATATTTTTACTCATGTGCATGAATAGTGTTTAAATATTAAATTAATTTAATATGATCGAACATGAGCACATACTCGTACTCATACTACACTCTTACTTTGGCAATTTGTGAACTGAATTTGAAACAAAAAATTTGCGATTTTTTTTTTTTTTGGTTGAAGGAAAACTGACAACAACTGCTTTTGACATCGCAATCTGTAAAATGTCATTCAAATTTATTTGACAGTTTTTGCGAGATGAGATTTTTTTTTTTGAGGTACACACTTCATTTTGCTTAAAAGCAAAGTTTTTCATTTTTACTATAAACTCATTTTACTTTAAATAATATTTGCACTTAACTCATAAATATACATACAATGTATGGATTTATGTGATAATTTGCAAATTTGATGCATGTCATGGGATGGTTTATTGATTTTACTTTACATTAAAGTAGTTTGACATTGTTGACACTTAAGTATGTGGCTGTGTAATACATTGTAATTACATGTTGTTAAGATCTCAATAATCAAATGCGGAAGACAAGTTACATTTGTATGTAGTTCTGGAATAATGACACATTAAAATTGTTAATTATTATTATCTATATATATAAAATTCTAACGTTACTGACTGATTCATCATCGCACAGTCTAATCGGTTGATGCTAAAGAGCTGAAATTTGGACAGGAGGTTGGTCTTCCACCAAATAGATCCACTAAGACGGGATTTTTGGAAATTCGAATGTTTATGGGGTAAAAAGGGTAAATTCTGTAACCTCATATCTCGTAAACTACAAAAGATACAAAAACAGTTTAAAGCTTATCGTCGTTCATTTAAAAAATAAGCGGACAGGTGTCTGGTACTTTTTTTCAAATTCGGCCCTTTAGGGAATAAACGGGTAAAAACTGTATTTTGGTACTTTTTTTGCACCCCATGTATCTTTTAAAGCAGAGAACATTCAAAAAATATTTTTGACTTCTTCATAACTTGACGGAAAAATAAAAATATGAATTTAGTACTTTTTGGATATTCGGACGTTTAAGGGGTGAAAATTGTACCTATTTTTGGTACCTTTTTCATAAAACATTGTTTTTGGTTTATTAACTTATACTTATACATAATAACGGGCTTCCACTACGATATTGCAACTTTTTGGAATAAAATTTTTGTTTCGTTAATGAAAAAACCAAAAGGGGTAAAAACGGGAAATTTGATTTTATTCAAAAACAATGATCCAATTTAGATAAAATTTTTAGATTAAGAAACACTAAATATGCTAATGGGGTGTTATTTGGAAACCCGGTACCAAGTGATATTTTTGGTAGTTTTTCATTCTCTAACTGGTACTTTTTGAGTTTTCTATGATATTGAAATCGAAACATGAAATTAATAATAAAGAGACTTTTCGGTACTTTTTCGTTCTACATAGGTACATTTTTGAGTTTTCTTTAAAATCAAACCTAGAAACATGTAATTAAGCATGTAGAGCCCAGAGTAAATGAGAATCTATAAAAGGGGACTTTTTGGTACTTTTTCGTCCTTCGATTGGTACTTTTTGAGTTTTCTATAAAATTTAACCTAGAAACATGATATTAAATATGTAGAACTAGGAGTAAATGGGAATCTATAAAAGGGGACTTTTTGGTACTTTTTCGTTCTTCAAATGGTACTTTTTGAATTTTCTATAATATTGAATCTAGAAACATGAAATTAAGCGTGTAGAGCTCGGAGTAAATGAGAACATATAAAAGTTTACGTTTTGGTACTTTTTCGTTCTTCAAAAGGTACTTTTTGTGTTTTTTTATAATATTGATCCTAGAAACATGAAATGAAGCAAGTGGAGCCCGGAGTTAATGAGAATCTATAAAAGGCGCCCTTTGGTAATTTTTCGTTCTTCAAATGGTACCTTTTGAGTTTTCTATTATAATGAACCTAGAAACATAAAACTAAGCAGTCAGGGACTTGAGTGAATGAAAATTTAAACTGGAGTATTTTCTGGTACTATTTCGTTCTTTAACTGGTACTTTTTGAATTTTCTGTAATATTCATGAAATTAAACAAAATAAGTCTATCGGTACTTTTTCGTACTTCAACTGGTACTTTTTGAGTTTTCTAAAATATTGAATACATAAACATAAAATTAAACATGCAGTATCCTAATTGAACGAAAATTTAAAAAGGATACTCTCAGGTACTTTTTTGTTATTTTACTAATACTTTTCGAATTTTCTATAATATTAAACCTAAAATTGGATACGCAGCTTCCTGATGGTATACAAATCTCTATGCGAGGAATTTCTGATTTAATGAAAATCTATAAAAAGACACTTTCTTGTACTTTATCGTTCTTTAACTGATTATTAATTTTCTGTAATATTGAAAGTAGAATCATAAAATCAAACTTATAGAGTTCTCTATATTATTCCATCTAGTCTATAGTCTAGTCTATAGTCTAGTCTATAGTCTAGTCTATAGTCTAGTCTATAGTCTAGTCTATAGTCTAGTCTATAGTCTAGTCTATAGTCTAGTCTATAGTCTAGTCTATAGTCTAGTCTATAGTCTAGTCTATAGTCTAGTCTATAGTCTAGTCTATAGTCTAGTCTATAGTCTAGTCTATAGTCTAGTCTATAGTCTAGTCTATAGTCTAGTCTATAGTCTAGTCTATAGTCTAGTCTATAGTCTAGTCTATAGTCTAGTCTATAGTCTAGTCTATAGTCTAGTCTATAGTCTAGTCTATAGTCTAGTCTATAGTCTAGTCTATAGTCTAGTCTATAGTCTAGTCTATAGTCTATAGTAAGTCTATAGTCTAGTCATAGTCTAGTCTATAGTCTAGTATATAGTCTAGTCTATAGTCTAGTCTATAGTCTAGTCTATAGTCTAGTCTATAGTCTAGTCTATAGTCTAGTCTATAGTCTAGTCTATAGTCTAGTCTATAGTCTAGTCTATAGTCTAGTCTATAGTCTAGTCTATAGTTAGTCTATAGTCTAGTCTATAGTCTAGTCAATAGTCTAGTCTATAGTCTAGTCTATAGTCTGTCTATAGTCTAGTCTATAGTCTAGTCTATAGTCTCGTCTATAGTCTAGTCTAGTCTATAGTCTAGTCTATAGTCTAGTCTATAGTCTAGTCTAGTCTATAGTCTAGTCTAGTCTATAGTCTATAGTCTATAGTCTATAGTCTATAGTCTATAGTCTATAGTCTATAGTCTATAGTCTATAGTCTATAGTCTATCGTTAGTCTAGTCTAGTCTAGTCTAGTCTAGTCTAGTCTAGTCTAGTCTAGTCTATAGTCTAGTCTATAGTCTAGTCTATAGTCTAGTCTATAGTCTAGTCTATAGTCTAGTCTATAGTCTAGTCTATAGTCTAGTCTATAGTCTAGTCTATAGTCTAGTCTATAGTCTAGTCTATAGTCTAGTCTATAGTCTAGTCTATAGTCTAGTCTATAGTCTAGTCTATAGTCTAGTCTAGTCTATAGTCTAGTCTATAGTCTAGTCTATAGTCTAGTCTATAGTCTAGTCTATAGTCTAGTCTATAGTCAAGTCTTTAGTCTAGTCTATAGTCTAGTCTATAGTCTAGTCTATAGTCTAGTCTATAGTCTAGTCTATAGTCTAGTCTATATTCTGCTCTATAATTTAGTCTAGTTTGTATTCGAGTAGATAATCTTTTCTTTAGCCTAGTTGTCCAGTCTATGGAAAATTAGTTTAGTACGTTTAAACCTAAAAGTACAATCTTACATTAAAATGTCCTACAAAATTATAAAACATATTTTCTATGTTTGCAACTCTTTACAGAAACATATTCATTGCAGTATTAGCCAGCTCATGGAAACTCCAAAAATAACTTAAAATTTAAAGGAAACGGAAGCCATAATAAAATATAACAAGGACAAAAATCAACAATAAGTAAATAAAATCTATTCATCAACAAACAAGCAACAACAAACTGAACTGCAGTAAAATTTGCTAGTACTTTCATATTAAAAAAAAACAAAATCAAGAAAATTTATTCATTTTAAATCTAACTGAAATTATGGGTGTTTACCAAGTTATGTTAAATAGTGCATGCTGAAATAAACATTTCTGTTTCCTGTAGTAGTTGTTGTGTCTTATAGAAGGACAAGGACTTTTCTAAAATTGTAACAGAATATTAATTTAGTTAAAATTCAAAGAAAACCAAAAAAAGAAAAGTTTTTTTATTTTGTCATGTTAAATAGTGGTAGCAACAGCATGGAAACACTAACCACTACAACAGCAAGTTCCTTTATAACAACCAAAGCCACGATTGCAGTGTCAGCATCATCAGCAACAGCAGGAGTGGAAGAACAAACAGAAGCTAATGAAACCCCACCAGATCCTTTTGAAATTTTGCGCAACGAGTGTTATGAACGTCTTAATCAAACTGCGACAGCTGCAGCGACAACGGGGACAAATTTTGTAACAGGTAAAAGATAAATTAAATTTTGATAAAATTCTAAATAAAGTTTAAAATTAAGTTTATTAAAAGCTGCACTGTGGGGCAAAATCAAAAAATATCGGAGATTTTTAAACGACTGATTAAGTATGAGTAGTCGAGAAGGGTGGCGTCTCATAATGTCCATGGATGTTATGACATACGAAAAAATGTCATAGTTTCCATTAACAGTATGGCACATCAAAAACTGTTACAATGACCATGAACATAGTACCATAAAGTAGATAGGTTTTAATGTTCATGGACGTTACGATATACCAAAAAGTTTCATAGCTTCCATGGACATTATGACACAGCAATAACTGTCACATACATAGGCTTAGAGTTATGTATAAAGGGTAGCCACTCAATTTTGAATGGTTCAAGTGATTTACTCTGCTTGCGATGCCCTACTTCCAGAGTTAAGCCAACCGGTTCCATACATGAATGAACAGTAGAGACAAAATAATGTTCTCAGTGAATGTCAGACTGTAGTAGATATTTCTTATTCCTCCATAATATGACAGCTTTTGCAGTAGTCATTGTATTCAAGACACATTCTTCTGATATGATTGCCAATAGCAGAGTGTCCCGTCATTACCGATAACAGCGTTCTTATCTGCATACTAGAGCTAGGTCCATCATATAGAGGCCAAGTTGACCTCGAAGTAAGACGGTTATTTTCCTCTAGATTTGTGCTATGCTATCCGTATATATACATATATCTCCCGGTATGTGTAATACTTCAGCCAGTATGCTGCTCGATCGATTTCTCGATTTCTGCCTGTAAAACACTGAAGAAGGATTTCATTCCAAATCTTTCAATGTAAAAGTCACCACCCACCCTTCCACTCCTTTTGGAGCCATTAGTGTTAGCATTCCTTACAACATTTGACAATTGGGACTCAGATTCTGAATTCTTCTCAGTTTTGTAGCGCAATAGTCAACATTCAGAAGCAAAGATTCGAAATGTTTTATTATTCGGGTATGGCCTATGTTTTTATTGTCAGACCACGAACCACATGCAGAATTAAGGGCTAATTAAATCGCCATCAGGTCATCTGGTAACCTGTTAAAATATAGTAACAGGGCCTTCACAGTCTTCATTGCTCCCCTGATATTGAAAATTCAGTTGATAGACTTAGACTTAACATACCAGTCGGTACCAACCATCTTACTTATCCCAGAATAAATTACTATCAAGGATCACTCCGATGTATTTCACATGATCGGCAGTCTAAAGTCTTATTCCGTTCAACTTTGGAGGCAAAAAGTTTTCAAGTTTATACGTCTGAGGCCATCGCTCCTAAGATCAATACTGCTAGGTCGTCAGCATAAGCGAAAGCCTTAATTCTATTTCATAGCCATATTACAGAGTTTAGGAGACGTCTGTCACATTAAGTCCATGGGTCACAAAATGCCGGTGTCATAAATGTCCATGACTATAATGACATAAAGTTCAGGGTTTAAAAATAGTCCGTGTATCAGGAAAAATTTAATTTTATAAGTGCTACAAGTCCAAAAACTTACTTCAAACTAATCAGTTTCATTTTGAACAGGTCCACTGAGGTTCCCTGGTTAACTGTTAGCCGTGGGTATTTGTCTTTGGTATTCTGCAAAAATCATCATGAATTAAAATGTCCAATTATTGATCTTCAAACTTTGATTATACATTTTATGCGATATTTTTCTTCCGTGTAAAACCGCTACATCCGAAGAGCACAAAGCATGGCACGTAACGCTTCCAAATCACTTCAATTCTGCATAGATTCCCCATGGTTGTATGATCAGATTTTAATAGTTTATAATAGGATGGAATCCTTTTATTCTCACTAAATACAGAGAATTTCCCTAGGGCCATGTATATTTGCCGTTCGTGTCGATTCGGCTAGTTGGACGGGTTATTCATCGCATGCAAAATCATATTTCAAGGTCTCTAGGCTTCAATTCGCATTTTAAGGTTCATTCTATTATAATACCGTAAGAATTACTGAAGACTCTTTTGATAAACAACATTTGTTAAATTTATTTACTTTTATTAAAAAAAATAAATTTTCCTCATTTCATTTTTACATTTCATCTGTTTTTTTAATTACTTCACCTCCCATAAGTAGCCTTTAAGCAAGCACTTGAGTATTACTTTTGTTTCTGACTGTTAATTATATATAAAATGGTGTTAATTTTGTGGTTTTTCATAAAGTGTGTCCTTAATATAATGTTTTCTGTTTTTGTTCTTTCATTTAGATAAATTTTGTCCGGGCACTTTTGATGGCTGGCTCTGTTGGCCGGATACTCCTGCTGGTACATCTGCTTATGAACGTTGTCCTGAATTTATAACTGGTTTTGATCCATTAAGTAAGTAGACCATTAAAATTAATTCTAGTATTTGGTATAACCACTTGTAAAACATGATTGTTGAATATAAAACTTAATTGAGGCTATAAATTATGTAGTAGTTTTAACATCAAATGTAAAGGAAATTATATTTTTTAATGTTTAATATTTTAATGTTTTCTGGTTGTTTTTGATTGGCTTAATAATTAAGTTAAATAATATGAAATAGTGGATTGGGTGATTTAAGTATAAAGTAGTAAAAATCTTTATATTGAAAATAATAACGTCGCTGATTTCGATTAAATTCTGCGCACTCTGTGAATAGATCCAAAAAAAATATGCTTGCGCCGCTATCGGGTCAGTACATCATATTAATATCGGACTTTTTCATTCCGAGAAGAAATTTATTGGTGAAACCTACCGTTCCATCATTACAAGTGGACGTATGGGATTTTTTCGTACATATGTTTAAGCCCTCATATGTCTTTCCATTTGCTCTTTCATTGACTTTAATGCCGAGAGGTGTGTTACCCATATGATGCAGAGCATAGTTAGTTAGTTAGTTTGTTAGTTAGTTAGTTAGTTTGCTAGTTAGTTAGTTAGTTAGTTAGTTAGTTAGTTAGTTAGTTAGTAGTTAGTAGTTAGTTAGTTAGTTAGTTAGTTAGTTAGTTAGTTAGTTAGTAGTTAGTTAGTTAGTAGTTAGTTAGTTAGTTAGTTAGTTAGTTAGTTAGTTAGTAGTTAGTTAGTTAGTTAGTTAGTTAGTTAGTTAGTTAGTTAGTTAGTTAGTTAGTTAGTTAGTTAGTTAGTTAGTTAGTTAGTTAGTTAGTTAGTAGTAGTTAGTTAGTTAGTTAGTTAGTTAGTTAGTTAGTTAGTTAGTAGTTAGTAGTTAGTTAGTTAGTAGTTAGTTAGTTAGTAGTTAGTTAGTTAGTTAGTTAGTTAGTTAGTTAGTTAGTTAGTTAGTTAGTTAGTTAGTTAGTTAGTTAGTTAGTTAGTTAGTTAGTTAGTTAGTTAGTTAGTTAGTTAGTTAGTTAGTTAGTTAGTTAGTTAGTTAGTTAGTTAGTTAGTTAGTTAGTTAGTAGTTAGTTAGTTAGTTAGTTAGTTAGTTAGTTAGTTAGTTAGTTAGTTAGTAGTTAGTTAGTTAGTTAGTTAGTTAGTTAGTTAGTTAGTTAGTTAGTTAGTTAGTTAGTTAGTTAGTTAGTTAGTTAGTTAGTTAGTTAGTTAGTTAGTTAGTTAGTTAGTTAGTTAGTTAGTTAGTTAGTTAGTTAGTTAGTAGTTAGTTAGTTAGTTAGTTAGTTAGTTAGTAGTTAGTTAGTTAGTTAGTTAGTTAGTTAGTTAGTTAGTTAGTTAGTTAGTTAGTTAGTTAGTTAGTTAGTTAGTTAGTTAGTTAGTTAGTTAGTTAGTTAGTTAGTTAGTTAGTTAGTTAGTTAGTTAGTTAGTTAGTTAGTTAGTTAGTTAGTTAGTTAGTTAGTTAGTTAGTTAGTTAGTTAGTTAGTTAGTAGTTAGTTAGTTAGTTAGTTAGTTAACTAAGTCTGACAGGCCAGTTAGACCCTAGTTCTACTTCTTCGGATCTGATGTATGTATGTCCTGTCGAACTAACTTAATAAAATACCACTATGAGCTAATGGTTCTTCTACATAGATATAGTTTGTTGGCTCTATCCTCTAAGTGATATTTACATTTTAGTTTCCGATAAAGTACTGCGTCTAAGTATTTAATCCTTCGACAAGAAGGGTGCTCTTAGATACCTTTCTGTTCTTGGCTTGACTCAATCGTAGTCTTCTGACTATAGGATCCTACGTTTTTTCTGTTTTTCTTTCCCTTAAATTTGTGAGAGGAAATAACATAACCTTTGGAGTGCCCTGTTATTAACCCAATGTGTTTCGTTGGTGTTAAGATGTTATCGAAGTGCAGATTACATGTTTTATAGGAACTTTTTTCTAAACATTACGAAATTTGTGTCAATTTTCCAAACAACTTATCGGATTTTTATTTGGCCTACCTTATGGTTATGCTTTACTCATATTGCTCTGATGTAGGAAAAATTAATTAGAATAAGTATTGAGCAAAAAATTTCCGAAAATTATTTTAGTATTCATGTGTATGTTTAAAAAAATTAATTCATGTTTTTTAAACAAATCTAAATAAATGAAAAGGGTTTACTCTACAGACACAACCATATGTTTGTCTATGTATTACATCTGTGTCCCTTCTAATGCACAAAACCTTATTGAAACGTTTTACTAAAATCATTTCTACTTAAGATTTGTCATTTGGAATTCTAATATTACTATTTAAGGCAAAGGAATTTGCTAATAAATGTCTATTTTTCTCTCTTCATAAAAATAGATCCAATTTGTTGTTTCCATTTGTTATGGTTTATTAACAAAATTGTATTTTGTCCTTTTTTCCATTATAATCATTATGGTTTCTGCTTTCAACATGTTGTCCTGTGGTTTTTACTTTTCTTACATCGCACCACATGAGATAAGTGTGGGTGGTGGGACCACATTATTTTTTTTTTTTTTGAGTGTTTTAAAACATGGCGATCTTGCTTTTTTTGTCCTTTTAGAATTAACAGAAATGTCATAAATTTGCAAGCAACCATAAGCTGGGTAAAAAAATTTATTGTAGAAATAATTTATATTTTTTGTTAAATTGTGGTCTTAAACATTGAAGTTTTGTCTAGTTTTCCAAATTTGTTATTTATGTGAAAACAACTTTAACATAAATAACTTTGTGTTTTTTTTTTTTTTGCAATTTTCTTTTTATTCATTATGAATACAGTCTTATTAAAACTAATGAATGTGTTTCGAAACCACAACAACTTTTAATTTCCAAAATATGTATTGGTTTTTGTAAATGTTTAAAAACTTATTGTAATAAAAACGAAAAAATAAATTTAAAGAATTTAATCAATATCTCTAAAAGTGATGCAGAAGATATTGAAAAGTAAGTTGCTGGAAAACACTAGTATTTTTCAAAATTTTATTTCCTCTGATGGAGTGGTATAATGTGCCCCATATAAAATCTTCCCATGTTTAATGTTGCAATAAAAATTCTCTTTGAAATATTCAAATAGTACAATTTAAGTTTACTGTATGTATTAACATATAACCAACTAAACGTTCTTAAAATAATAGGAAATTTAATCGAAACAGAGTAGAAATACGAGGGTATAAATCACATAAAGAAAAATCAATAACGCGGTAAAAGCTATCGATATTTACTACCCCATACTACTTTACATACATAACATAAGTATGTATGTATATATTAGACTGCAACAACAAATATATAGAAAATAAATGTGTGATATACAATGAAAGTCAAAGCTTATAGTCATACTTTAAATTTGATATTAGCTATGTGGAGTCAGCTTATGATATATGTATGTAGTTGTACATTAGAGTGTCCCGAGGAGAGGAAAGATAGATAGATAGATAAATAGATAGATAGATAGATAGATAGATAGATAGATAGATAGATGATAGATAGATAGATAGGATAGATAGATAGATAGATAGATAGATAGATAGATAGATAGATAGATAGATAGATAGATAGATAGATAGATAGATAGATAGATAGATAGATAGATAGATAGATAGATAGATAGATAGATAGATAGATAGATAGATAGATAGATAGATAGATAGATAGATAGAAGCTAGATAGATAGATAGATAGATAGATAGATAGATAGATTAGATAGATAGATAGATAGATAGATAGATAGATAGATAGAAGATAGATAGATAGATAGATAGATAGATAGATAGATAGATAGATAGATAGATAGATAGATAGATAGATAGATAGATAGATAGATAGATAGATATATAGATAGATAGATAGATAGATAGATAGATAGATAGATAGATAGATAGATAGATAGATAGATAGATAGATAGATAGATAGATAGATAGATAGATAGAGATAGATAGATAGATAGATAGATAGATAGATAGATAGATAGATAGATAGATAGATGATAGATAGATAGATAGATAGATAGATAGATAGATAGATAGATAGATAGATAGATAGATAGATAGATAGATAGATAGATAGATAGATAGATAGATAGATAGATAGATAGATAGATAGATAGATAGATAGATAGATAGATAGATAGATAGATAGATAGATAGATAGATAGATAGATAGATAGATAGATAGATAGATAGATAGATAGATAGATAGATAGATAGATAGATAGATAGATAGATAGATAGATAGATAGATAGATAGATAGATAGATAGATAGATAGATAGATAGATAGATAGATAGATAGATAGATAGATAGATAGATAGATAGATAGATAGATAGATAGATAGATAGATCGATAGATAGATAGATAGATAGATAGATAGATAGATAGATAGATAGATAGATAGATAGATAGATAGATAGATAGATAGATAGATAGATAGATAGATAGATAGATAGATAGATAGATAGATAGATAGATAGATAGATAGATAGATAGATAGATAGATAGATAGATAGATAGATAGATAGATAGATAGATAGATAGATAGATAGAAGATAGATAGATAGATAGATAGATAGATAGATAGATAGATAGATAGATAGATAGATAGATAGATAGATAGATAGATAGATAGATAGATAGATAGATAGATAGATAGATAGATAGATAGATAGATAGATAGATAGATAGATAGATAGATAGATAGATAGATAGATAGATAGATAGATAGATAGATAGATAGATAGATAGATAGATAGATAGATGATAGAGAAATTGCAAGTACTTCTTTAACTCCCCTATTTGTAAGTGGGCGTAGAAGTACTTGCCTCCACTGACATTACCGTGTTAAAATAATGACTTAAAATGCTAACGAAGAAGTAGTGGAAAGAGGTTTATTAGCTTTTTAACTCATTACTTTTCAATGTAAGTTTTTCCTGAGTAGGTAGACAAATCTCAAAAATTTCTTAATTTTTTTGCAGATTTTCGTTTGAGAGGTATTCCTTAAAAAAAACGTGTTCCACGC